GCCCTTAATGTTAGTACAACTCATCCTCGTGCCTATCAAGCTCCAGATGGTGGGTATTATATTAATCAATTTCCTGGCTTTCTTCATCCAAATCCACCTCCATTTCATGAATTCAGCAAAGAAATTCAGGATCAGGTAAAGTTAATTATTAACCATATGAGAGAAGTTCTCTGTTCTTCTGATAAAAAGCAAGAGTTATATATGATGGGATTAATTTCACGGATAACTATTGGCCAAAAAATGAAAAAATCAATGTTCCTTTATTCTGGCCCAGGAACAGGAAAAACAATGCTTACATGGTTCCTCCGAGAAATGGTTCTTGGTCCTAAAATTACCATTAAGACTGCTAATGAAAACATTATTACTGGACAGTTTAATAAAGAATTGGAAGGTAAGGTTTTACTTGTCCTTGAAGAAATGTCTAACTCAAAATCAGGTGACTGGATTGCATTTGCAAATCAGCTCAAAGACTTTATTGATAGTGATTCTTTAAGAATAGAAGAAAAATATAAAACACCATATGATGTTACTAATGTTACAAATCTAATTATTAGTAGCAATAATAGTAAAACAATTCGTTTAGATAAGGAAGACAGAAGATATTTCATTCCAGATGTTTCAGATAAGTATGTAGTAAATGGAAAGGGTTTGGATCATTACTATGCTCCACTAGATAAAGCCATAAAAAATCCAGAAGTTGGAAAGGCTTTTTATTCATACATGTTAGAGTATGTAAAACTTAATCCAGACTTTGATGAATGTGTAATTCCTATGACCAAAACCAAGTTAATGATGACAAGCAGAGATATTAATCCAATTCATGAATTTATAAAACAAGAATATATTTGTAGATCTTCGGATCTTAATGTATCATCCTCATATTTATATAATACATATAAATTTTGGTTGCTGACAAATTTTGGTAGCAAGAAAAGACCACCTATTATACAAGAATTCACTTGTGCAATGGGGGAACTTGGATTAAAGCCTAAATCAAAAAGAGTAGGGGATCGAAAAGCCAATAAAAGAGTTCAACAGTATGAAGCTACATATGCAAATCTTTATGTAACATTTCAGAAAAAGAATTTAATTGACGATGCTGAGAATATTGATGAACCAGAAGGTTATCAGCCTGAAAATAATACAATTACTCTCCCTACTGAAATCCTTCCAGCTGAAGAGCCTCCTACTAACAAAGAGACATATACAGAAGAATCTGTTAAAATCAAATCTCCAGCTGAATGTAGTAAATCTTCTGCCCCTATTACTAAAAAAGTTCCGCCTCCTATTCCTCCTAAGCCAGCCAAACTTCAGGTAAAAA